ATGTTGTACAGCTCATGTACTTGAAGAGAGACGACTATCCATCATCACATGGCAACCACCAATGTATCAACTGATACCAGCTGAAAATCGATAAACCTGGCGGCAAGATCAATATGCAAACGGCTGTGCTGCCCGCTACAAACGATAATATTGGTCTTGGAGAAACATAAACCGCAAAACGACCGCAAAAGAGGAAGAGGATATACTGGCACTGTGTGCTTCACACACACCATACCAAAGTCGGTACATTCTGACAATTTGACAGGAAAGTAGAGGGGGAAGCACAAGTAAAGTATGGCAGCCACTTGGCGACAACTCAAACTCTGACTGTCTGGCTCAAAGTCCATGAACTTCTGCAGCAGCATTTTGCAGCTGGCTCACTTCTATTGGCAGCACTGCCCCGCAAAGATAGGATGCATCAGTGTTTTCCACTTTGCGCACACTTCCTCCCCAAGACACGTATTCGCGTGCCCCGTGGCCACCATTGCAAGCCATGACGTCACAGCTGATTTTGCCAAGTAGCATCACCATCTCAAATCTTCCGTAGAGTCAGTTGCTGTTGTTGTTGCTGCTGCTGCTGTTGCTCCCTTCAGCTATGTTAATCAGAAAGAACGCCTGAGAGTGAAAGTCGTAAATCAACAGACGTCGAACGGGTGACGATTATATCTCTCTCTTACTTAGCTCGCTACATGTCAATTTAAAACTTTCTACGACTACAACAGCACCTCAGCTCACCTCACCACACCACCACCAAGCCTGCGGTTCTCCACTCAACTGAATATTAACATTAGTTTCCTGTAACTGCAACGCATGATGAACCTTTTGAAGGCGCACAAGGCAAAAGCAAACACACTGGACTTGATGGCTTGCAAAAACATCTCCGAAATAGCCACAAATAAATGCAATTCAGTGCTTGCAAGCAGCCCACTCCTGGTGCCGCCGTGGATCGATGGCACACATTCGCACACACAGAGAATGCTGTCCGCGCCTTGGCAAATAAACTTCCAACTTTTCACCCCCTCATATGTGGAACTCTGCGAGTGCATAGACAAACATGCTATTTTTGGGGAGGGAAGACATTCGATTTGCTTGCTATCGAGAGCTGTCGATTTCAGCAGCTCGTAACGGAAAACAAAACGTTCAAGAGCTAGGTGGATAAGTGTTTGTCGGCCAGAAGAGTGCCCACAAAGAATGCCACAATTTATGGGTGCAAACCAAAAAGCAAGCTGCTGTGGCAAAGTTAAACCAACAAAATGTGAAAACACATGATCACACTGCCTTAGCCAGTGGAGAAGGAGATAGAAAGAACAATGTGAGATGAGTCTGGTCAAAAGGCAAGTGCCAGTGAGAGATAAGTGATAACGAAACAGAACAGACATGTGACGCCCTTTGTGCTGTGCTGTTGTGCTGTTGCGTCAACAGCAGTAGCACAGCACAAGATAGGGCTGTGCCTGCACTGACTCTCGGCGTTGAGTGAGAAAACGACGCCCACCGCTGGCTAACCGCAGCGACCACAACCCAACAATAAATGAGACGGTATAAAGTCAAGGAGTGTACGAGCTTACCTGTTGTCCGTACATGACTGACGACTTGCACAGCTGGATCGAAGCCTGCTTGCCTCATTCGAGAGGCGGCATTTGGCTCCTGGTTGTTATTGTCTTCGTTCATGTTGGTGTCCATGTTGGGGGTGCGCAGAACCAATGAACAGGTCTTTGCTCTGCGGTCTGTTAGTGATGAGAGCGTTGATGTTGGGGGGATGGTGAGATTGGTATTGGGGTGATGATGATGCTTTGCGATTAGGAAGGAAGATGATGAAGGAGATGATTGAAAGAGCAAACAATTATTAACAAATATACAACAACTATGGGGGTGATTGAAGGGGTGATCGGTGACTAGGACTATTTGACGGTTAGCTCAAACGCGGTTGGCTCTTTGAGGGGAAGAATGAATAGCTTCGGCAATATGATTTACACAATCACAGCAAAACGATTTCCAGAAAAAACNGTGATCGGTGACTAGGACTATTTGACGGTTAGCTCAAACGCGGTTGGCTCCTTGAAGGGAAGAATGAATAGCTTCGGCAATATGATTTACACAATCACAGCAAAACGATTTCCAGAAAAAACAACAGATAACAAGTAATAGGTTCAAGGGACGAGTAATACACAATCCACAAACAGCTACCAACGGCAGAAGAAAAAAACCAAATATTTTTTGCAGTTATTGAGCTTTGGATGAGTGTGCTTGCTTATACAGCATTAAAGATGAAGGTTCAAGTTGATTTTCATTATGTTCATTCGACTCTGATGGCGTAAGCGGAAGTTCATTTAGTTGTTGATTGAAACATGACGCTGATAGTGATGGCTTCGAAAAAGAGGTAAACGGTATGTTTTAAGCGTGTCACAACCACGCTCGTCAGTTAAAGATGCACNATTGAAACATGACGCTGATAGTGATGGCTTCGAAAAAGAGGTAAACGGTATGTTATGTTTTAAGCGTGTCACAACCACGCTCGTCAGTTAAAGATGCATCTACCAAAGGGGGAGAATGGAGATTAGTCAAAGAAAAATTGGCATAAGGGTGAATTGAAAGAGAGGAAGAAATCACTACACAAGCACTTATCAGGAATGTGTGCAATGATGCAAGCAGATAGGGCGCTAAAAGGTGACATTACTGGGGGAAAAGGGACGAGTGGTGCAGACACTCCAATGCCAGAGACTCGACTTTCACTTTTTAAAAACGAAAATACGATACACAAAAGCAATGAACTGAAAATGTGTAATGCTAAAATCGGGCCACAAGGAGTGATTTGGGTGTAGAGGCTTGCGTAAAAGCCTTGAGTGCCGTCGATGGTGGCGATAAAAAGACGTCACACAGCAGTAACGGCATCGTAACAAAGTAATGCCACTTCTGGGCAAACGATACAAGCCTACAAATATTATCGAAAAGGGTATGCGACTTGATTGTAGATTATAACTTTGATTACAAACAGTATTTAGACGTCCAAGTCAGTCTTCCTTCGTGACATTCCCTCCATCGTCAATGCTAGCGCTTTAGCCTCAGTGTGTGTTTACGACTTTTGGTGCAGACTTAATTAACATTCTAATTAAAATTGAAATACTAATTAAATATATCGGTTCACTATAGCTAGATGACTGCAATTCGCATCTTTTCAAATATAATCACTCAATGCTTTTGTAAGAACTGAAATATTTGTGACCTATATATAGATGAGCTAACAGTGTATATAGAAAAAGAATATTCCCTTTGCTCAGGCAAATTCAATGAGTTGGTTAGTTATATAGCTGGCCTGTATTTCGCGTTCACCGTTCAGGCAATGAAGAAATCGACAAGAAACTAAACTGAATTCTGTGTGAAACGTCTCCCAGATTTTGTAGGTAATACTATTGAAACTAGCGAAAGCAAAAGACAGGCTCACCTTTGACAATTGAGTCAAAAAAGATTTGATGATGATGGCGATGATAATGATGATGATGATGATGAAGGGGTGGTGACGATGATGCTGGTGCTGAGTGCTAACTCTAAAGGTTGTCCAGAAAGAGATACACTTGGACTGGTACTGAACAGGCGATGAATTTCATTGCAAAAGGGCACAGATGGTTTGCCAACAACAGAACCACCACAGTGGATGGCGAAACGGCCACACATGAAATTGCTTTCTAGTCGTCTGCAGAATACTTGAAGAGGAGTGTGCGGCAATGTGGGGCATTAATGGTGAAATGTAGAGACTGGCTGGGAAGACTGAAGCGTCCAGGCGATGGGCCCGCTTCTGATCAAGGCCAGCGACAGCTGATCAGGTGATGATGCCAGTCGTCCGGGCGATCGTTGTTGTGTTGTGCTGGTGAGGTGAAGGGTCACAGCTCAATGAGAGAGGGTGAAGAAGGTGGTGATGGTGGTGGTGGTGGTGGTGGAGGAAGGCCAGGGCGAGTGGCAGGCGAAGAGAAGTGCTGGAGTAAGGGCAGAAGAAGGCGATCAGCTTCGAGGCAGGGAGTCAGCAGTGAGGCTGCAGCAGCAGCAGCAGCAGCAGCTCTGGCCGCAGCTGACCCTGGTGGTGGTCTGCGTCTGCTGTACAGCGGTGTCTCGGTGAGCATGGAGCAGTCCAGTGCGCCTCGGTGCTCTGCCAAACGGGACCTAGCTGGCCAGGGGAGAAAGGGCCTGGGAACGCTTGCAGGTCTGCAGCTATGCGATGCATGGAACAAACTTTTACATTTCTCTTTACTCGGTCATTGAAGAGGCGAGTCGACGGGGAGTCTGCGCATTGACGCTGCACAGCTGAAGGTGAGGGCAAATGAGGAGTAACGCCCATCGCCTTCATTCCAGGTCAGTTCGAAGGAGATCTTTCCTCGAATGAATTTGGCTCAAACTGCTTGTTCAACTTTTGTCCCGGGACCGAGAAAGAGGCGTTGATAGGAGAGAAACCTGTGGGCAGCCGTTTGAACTGTGAAAGGTAAAGTGGCGCCGAATGACCGACTTGCGGTGGGCAGCAGTCCCCCATTATGGGCGCTGCCGCACAAAATGGATCAATTTTTGAAAAACCGAAAAGACGAACCCGAATTAAAAACCCTCTGTCGAAGCATTTCAATTAGTCCTGGAAGGCATTCCGCCGGGAATTTGGCCCGGACAAAAACACCGTTGTCGTTTGGCCCAGCGCAGCAGGTCCCTTGATGGAGGGAAATACAGACACAAGTGCGAGTACTGCCACTATGTTGTGGAAACAGTGGAAACTGGGAACACACATATGAGTTTCGTCAGCATCGACGTTTTGGCGGCAAGTCACAGTGCGAATGCAGAGCTGACTGGGTAGTCAGTGGCCTTACATGGCAGAGACAGATTTGCATGGAATTTTAATTGCTCTCTACTATTGCAAGGTGGACTGATAAGTAATAAATAAGAAACATGATTTAGAAGAAAGAAAAACGCACAATGAACAGTGTGATAAATAAAACGATTCAATAAAAACTCGATCGGAAAAAAACAGTTCAAACGTCAATGGAGTTGGAGCGCGTGATATCGGCGAAGCAGCGGCGACAGACGGGACGCAGTGACTTGCTGGAGAGCACCGGAATGCTGCACCGCTTGTCAATGCAGCGAATGCAGAAGATTCTGCCACAGGCGTAGCAGTGCAGCTTGGTGGAGTACGGCTCCAGCGGGGTGGAACAGCTGCAGCCTTTCAGATTCTGAAAGGACTGCCAGCTGAGGGCAATCAGATCACAGTCCTGGGCCACCTGAATCGCCGGAGGTGTCTCAGCGCCCACTGCTTCGATCGTTGGCTCGCTTTCGACGGTGGCTCGAAATTTATTTGACGCTGACGAGCTCAGACTAGCAACGTTTAGAGAGTTTGGCCGAGATGGCTAGAGGAGGGTGAAAACAAAATTTGTTAGAAAGATTTAAAGCAAAATATTTAGAGGTCCTTACCGAAACCCGCCCCATAAGAGGGTTATCGTGCGTAGCTTCGGTGAGCACATACTCCTCGCTCTTGTTTGACTCTGAAGTGTCCTCTGAGGTGTCCACTTCCAGGTCAGAGTCTGAGCTGTCACTGGACCGTGCCACCTGTCTGGCCTGTTCTTTCAGTTGGTGCTGCAGTTCCAGCCGATGCATACACTCTTCGACGACGCGCAACGGTCGCTCCACATCGTCCAAATCAATTGAACCCAGGGCCTTTTTCTTCAGCTCACTAGGTCGCTCCAAGGTGTCCTCCTCCACCTCAATGCCCGGCTCGCCGTTTTTCTGTGCATTATCTTTATTATACTGCATCTTTTTTAAATACTGTAATGGAAAATGTTAGTCATTGCAAAAGTACATCATTTCAAACAACGTACCTCTTCAAGAAACAAAATGTGATCTTTGAGTTGCTCGACGTGTTTCATCTTTGCGGTAAGCACGTCGGCAAACATATCTCGAGGATGAACACCGACTTCGAAGCGGTTATAGAGGCCACGCCAAAACCTGCAACGAGTTTCAGGATTGAGTGAAAAAGTATGAAAAAAAGTTATTGAAAAACCATACTTGATAAACTGAGGAGCAACGCTGATGGGAAGAAAGCCCTCATGTTCCTCGTACAGCGGATTCGTGTACTCGGTTCGGTGAGCATCCAAATAGGCCCAAAGCGAGTAAGTTCGCTCTTTCAACCTTCATTGAAAAAGCACAAAATGATCAACGTTTTGAGCATGTAAACAGCAGACCCATGTGCCCGCCCACTTACCTCAGCTTGTCCCGCTCCTCCTCGCAATTGCCCACAAAAGTGCCAAACTGCACATTATGCACTGAATCGTTAATGGTGATGAGAAAGAGCTCATTAAACTCGAATGCACAGGGATGCTGCTGCATAATCTGCCAGATGACGTCGAGAAACTGCGTGAACACCGGGGCCATCTCCTTGTTCTCCCCGCTGATATGTCCGCAACGGTCGCTGAACTTGTGGCCAAAGCAGAGCCAGTCCTTTTCGATCATCGCCTGAAAGCCGTCAATGGTGCGGTAGTACGGGTCAAGAATGAGCGACGCAATGGCTGATAGAAGTCATATGGTTAGAGGGTGAAGTGAAGTGAAAGTGCTGACATGTAATTAACTTACAGCAAGTCTGAGAAGTGCGGTCCCAGCCGTCCGAGCAGTGAATCACCACACTGATGCCCATGTGAATGGCATTCGCCACGAAGAATGCCGTTTCCATAATTGCCTTGACGTGACGCAGCCAACCACTGCCTTCGATGCCGCTGAGAAATGAATTCATTGATGGAATACGCAGCTCACAGGCTACACATCGCAAAGGAAAATAAGTTTAGCAAGAAAAAAAGTTATGCCCAACGAACCGTCGATTAACTTCTGCAGACTTCCTCTCATCACGTGAATGTTTTCGATGCCGAAAAAGTGAAACTTGATGTTTTCATAGTAAATTTCATTTTCGTAGCCTTTCCCCTGTGCCTTGTTTACTATGGCATTTAGCTGAATTGATGAAAAAGATTTGTAAAAAGTAATAGAAGATAACTTTCTTCTTACCTTAGGACGAGTATCAACGACATAGAGCAAGTTAGAGTTGGGATTAGTTTGCCGAATGCAGTCAAGCAGACGCTCATCTTCGACACACCGTGCATTAAAGCCGGCGAGAGGTTGTGCACAGCGACTGATTGACGCCTTCAAAAGAATGTGTTAGACTTGGCAAATTGAGATGGTCGTCTAATTAGTCGAACCTTATTGGAGTGCAAGTACGTCAAGACAGGTAGCCTTGACTTGGAGCGAAAGTTGGCACTTCCTTGAATGGTGTACACGCTGGCCATGGTGGGAACGTATAGAGTGAGAGGATATGTATCGCAAAGCTAAATGAAGAAACTTTCGGTTAGACAATGAGTAAAAGTTGGACATGAAAAAGTCACCTTGTAGTTTTGGTTAAGCGTAATAAGAGACCAGGCATTGTTCGGACAGCCCATTCGCTTGAACTCCGCTTCGAGGGAAAACTTTTTCCAGCCATCTTCTCGAGAAAAAAATTCATTTGATGCAGTATACTGAAAGCAATACAGACTCTCTATGCGACCTGGAGATTAGAAAGAAAGTGTCAAGAGCAAGAGCATTTTCTTTCCAGCAAAGGACATTACTTGGCTGTGAAAGTTGAATCAGTGACTGGTAAATGTCATGGGCCTCCTTCTCGCGAGGAATAACAAATGTGATACAGAGAAAGTGCTTGCACCGCATCAACAGCGGTGAGCCGATGGTGGTGATGGGCAACTTTTCCACAGAGGCTATCAAAGAGTGCAGAATCCAGGTCTCACGTTTCAGTTCAGGATCGACAAAGATGAGGTGGGTTGCGGTGAGGTAGAGGGTGCCAATGGTGGCCGTGTTCGACGTGGCCGGATACCGGTACAGGAAGCGGACATTCTCCACCTTGGAAAGTAATGACACCTGATTAAGATCGTCGTCCATTGGGCAAAAGAGTGGAGCACTAGTGTGCCTGCTGCACCTGTCTGACCACAGCCGTGGTCGAGACGGGGCAGAGTAATCCTACCTTGGGCGTTCTGATGTATTCCATTGTTGGCTCGTCTGATAGGATCAAGTGCCCTCAACACTGGGTGATTATCAGCGGCAGGACAATGGAGGTGGTGGCGGCGGTGGTGACCGGAGACAATGGACCACAAGAAGCAGGTCTACAGAGTGCGGCACATGGCTAGGGTAGAGATAGCAAGGGTGAGATCAACATTCACATCGGATCTGGTGATAGATGAAGGGAGCAGAAGTGAGGATGATGATTAGTGTCGGGTGCCAGGCAATGAATGGCAGTCCATCTCTCGCACTGTCATCGTTGTCTGGAGAGCAGTTGTGCTGTTTTGCTGTGTTGAATATCAGCGGCCAGTCTGGCACTGCTTGCACTGCCAGAGTCGTCGACTGAGACGATAAACAGCGTCTGTCGCCGTTGTGTTGCGTTGTGTCAGTGCGCACTGTGTCTGCCGATGCTTCACAGCTGGCACTGGCCTGACTGTTTTGTTGTTGTGCTCTGCCAGCTGTCTTCCCAGAGAGCAGACCACACGACCACTAGAGAACCAGAGAAGCAACTGCCGCACTGATTGCATCCGCAATGGAGCACCACCCACCATTGGAACCCGCTTCGCCCACCACCACTTCGCAGAGTCCCAGTCAGAAGACCAGTTCTGACTCATTCGAGGACGCCCACCAGATTGATGATCCGCCCAACGGCTTGTTCGTGGAGGAAGATCACTTTAGCGTCCACTCTGACATTGATTTCCTGGAGGATGTTGATCTTCGATCGGTAATCTCTTTCTCTTCAGAACTACTTTATTCTACTGAGTTGTACTTACACAGTTGTGTTATTGTAAACAGAACCTAAGCAGGGAGGAGAGCATAGAACTGGCCATCACTCGGTACACCGCCTGCCTGAATTCGCTGTCAACAAACGGCCAGCTGAGTGGGCGAGAGCTTGAGGAAAAGAAGAGAAAGATTGTGAGACGCATCTGTGATCTAAAGGTGAAACTGGCCAAACTGCGAGAGGAGGAAGAGTTTGAAGACGCCTTGAAAGAACAGAATGAAGACGGCTGTAAGGGTGATCCCTCTGGTAGAGTCGAGAGTCACGACCACTTGTTTGCCACTTCTTCTAACTAAATTCTCTTGCACACTACAGAAATCGCCACCGTTTTATTCTTCAAGCGCACCTACTCATTCGTCAGGCACATTTCCGGACACAAACTGGTGCTGTCCACTGAAATTATTGACAATGAAAAGCGACTTCGAAGTTTGTGGAAAAGTCAACTGAAGGCAACGACAGGCAAAGGCTCCCATCCAACCTCGCCCGTGTCGCTTTCTCCCACCGCCACCACCAACCCACCGCAGTTTAACTTTCTCTCTCAAACATTTCCTACTTCACGCCTTCTTCAACTACTGAGCAACACTTCGAATCATCTGTCCAACTTTGCCGGCAACTGGGCAGGAAACGGCTCAGCGTCTAATCCATTTGCCCAACTTGTTTGTGACCAGTGCCTTAAGCGATCAACTAAATCACTGAATGACTACTTAATGGAGGCGATCAAATTTACGAAGAAATCCGACGGTGCCTTACCCCATTCACCTGGCCAACAGCCGGAGAGTGTTCGCAATAACCCTTACCTTGTCTGCATCTACTGCTTCTTCACTATTCACCTCAATTGCTTGTGCCAGGTAACTATTAAAAACTTGTGTTTTTGGCATCAAAACTAAAACTCTTGTTAGGTGAATCGAAAATGTCCCAAGTTGTTTTTCGACGACATCTCTAATGAAGGAATTGATGAGCAGCACTCAGCCTTTTATAATGCAAAAGAGATCAACATTGACAACAAACTAGCTAACCTCATGGCCGACTCTGCCAGCCTGGGGCCCAACTCTATTCCCGTAACCACCAATCGACTTGTTGAGCGTCACCAGAAAAGAATGCGCCGAGTGATTCTCAAGATTTGCCCCGAAGTGGGTTTAGCAAAGCAGGACTTTCGCTGCGGCGAGTGCAAAGTGCTTCTTTCACCGACTACCAACGTAAAGCCAGGCTCCAAGGTTGTCTCGAAGGCTCGCCAGTGCGACTACACTGGACTGTACTTCTGTGAGAACTGTCACATCAACGACACGGCAATCATTCCAGCCCGCGTCATCCACAACTGGGACTTTCGCCCACAGCCAGTCTCACGGGTTGCCTACCAAATTATTTCGTACCTCAAAAACACTGCAGTTCACTTTGATAGGCCAGTTCTTTTCAACCTGGTGGAGACCAATCCAATGCTTTACGGGCTCGTCGATGAACTCATTCAGATAAAGGTGTGTTTTGTTGTTACATTGTTCAGTCCCTTTCTAATTCCTGTGTAATTTTCTAGAGATTACGCAGCGAACTGTGCCAAATTTTCAAGTACATCTCACTGTGTAAGCAGCCAAGTAAACCTCGTCAGTGGGTCGCCATCATGTGCCAATTGGGTCCTCATCTTCTAAGTGAACGGGAAATTTCTTACCTTTCTTTTACGGATATTTGCGATCTGAAAAGTCTCTCCAGCAACTTGTCAGAGCTTGAGCATCTCTTTATAAGTCACATTAACAGTTGTGAGGTAAGTTGTGTTTAGTTGGTTTGTTCTTGTTTTCAATAATTCTTGTTTTGTAGAGTTGTCATGGAAAGGGATTTTTCTGCGAGCTGTGTCCGAACAAGGAGGACGTCCTGTTTCCATTTTCTCCCAACACAACAACCTGCTCTCAGTGCTACGCAGTGTACCACAAGTAAGTTTGCTGATTATTCCAAGCTTGTGTATACTAATTAATTTCTCTTAGAAACTGTTATTTTCGCCGTAATCGTCTTTGTCCAAGATGTAATCGTATTAAAGGAAAATTTGCTCTTCAGCAACAACAACTTCTCATCGAGCAAACAGATCAATCCAATGCAGAATCATCTGAATAAGGCTGCTGTTTTTAAAGTGAACCTAGTCATTGATTTTGATTTCTAATCATGCACTTTCACCTCGCCCTTTGATGCCATTTTATACTTTCAAAAAATGATTCATATTTTTTAAATTAAAAGTGTCTGTTTTGACCCACCCTGTGATGACGTTTTTGTGTCGATTTCGCATGTTTACGTCTTTTTTCAAAAAGAAACTTTTGTCATAAAATCGTTTCTTCTTTTAAAATCGTTTAAGAGTCGTGTTCAGCCATGGGAGTCACCGGTTTATGGAATTTAATTGAAGACAGTGGTACCAAAGTAAATATTGAAACTCTCCGAGGCAAGGTTTTGGCCATTGGTAAGTGTCTAACTTGTTTGTATTCTGTTTATTCTTATTTTGTCACCTTTTTAGACTTGTCAATCTGGATCAACCAGTCAATCAAAGGTTTCAGAGACAAAAATGGAAAGGCAGTCGAGAATGCTCACATACTGGGTCTCTATCATCGCATTTGCAAGCTTCTTTTCTATAACATACGACCAATCTTTGTCTTCGATGGCGAATGTCCTACACTTAAGTCGCGCACCTTGGCAAAGAGACACGAGAAAACCCGTAAAGCGCTTGCAAAATCAAAGAACATGTCGCTGAATGTTCTTGAGAAATACGTGAACTCTCAGCTGGGGAACGACGACAATTCAAGCGCTTTGCTTGCAGCGGCAAAAAGCAAACTTCGATTATCTGGCCAAAACTTGCTCTCCGAACTGTTTTTGCCGCCTAGATCAGATAACAGACAAGTAGATATTTATCAAGAATTTGTCGAGCTTAATAAGCAGATTTCAAATCGAATTGATGATAGCGATTCTGAAGAAGGAGAATCCAATGCGGATGACACTACGAAGAACAATGCTGACAATCAGGCAGAAGTTGATGTGTCGTATCATGTTCCAAGCAATCAACACATTCGTGATATTGACATAAATTCTGAGCATTTTAAAAAGTAAGTTATAAACTTTTATTGAATTTTTAAACCAACCTTTTCTGTTTAGTCTTCCAGCCACAACTCGTTACGAGATTTTATTGGAAATTCGAGAAAGCTACAAAGGGCGGAAAAATCCATTTCCTGAGAACCTTCCATCAGATTCAGATGTCTTTTCGCAATATCAAATGAGCAAATTATTGAAAAAGAGAAACTTGCAAGAGGAAATCGACAAACTGATCAATGAACTGAACGGAATCAACAACGAAGCAAATATTGAGCTATTCGGCAAGTCATCATCTATTGACTTTGGACTGCTAAGCACCAAGTACAAGGAAGTCGTCGGTGGCAGATTAGCTTCGGATGAACATTCTCGATTTCTGCTTTTTAAAACTTCTCAATCTCAAATTTGTGAACCTCCAAATGAAAAGGAGTCCAAACACGAAAGTAGCAGTGAAGTAACGACTCAATCGGAAAAGCAAAATCTAGAACTAAGTTCTCAAAACTTTGCATACTCATTACCGAATTCTCTGGTGGACAGTGGTGTTCAAAATCTCTCCGATTACAACCGCATCGAGCACTTGTCGCAAGCATCAACGTCCACTAATACCACTGTTCAGTTTCAGCCTAAACAGTTAGTTGGTCATCTCAATGAAAATGTTCAAAAGCTTACAAAGACCAAAGCTGCTCAAAACTCAACTTTGGATTTAAGTGACGCTGAATCTTCGACTTCTGGAAGCGAAGGCTTTGTCGAAGTGGAACCTTTAGAGGACTCCCAGTCAAGTGACTTTAGCCCTGTCAAAGACGAATCTAATGCCTTCTTAGAGTCACTTGATCTGCCGTATGACACCAGCTATAACTTGCTGATTAATATGGAAAAGGATTATCAAAAGGACGATGAATCAAACATTTTGCCAGAGGCTACTCCTTCAGATAGCATTACCACCAGTATTGAAATTGCCCATGATTCTCTAAAAGATAATGAGCACCAAACAGAACCTGTGATTCCCTTGTCAACAAACAGTCAAACTGAAATGAACCCGATACCAGAAGAAAAAGAAGAAGAAGAAGCAGTTCAACAAACAGTTGACGATGTTGCTCTGCTGGATTCTAAGATGGAAAATGTTGCAGACAAACCAGCGGTGGATTCAGTGAATGCGAGTCCAGCAGCACTAGCACCAGTGCAGAGTGAACAGTCTCAAATTGCAAAGGAGCCGCCAATAATAAGTGTTGAAGAGCTGCTGCAGCAGGCGCAGGAATCCAACAAAATATCTCGTCAGGCTGCCTCAGTGACCAAGCAGATGGTGGACGACTGTCAGGAGTTGATGCGCCTCTTTGGTGTCCCCTGGGTGGTGGCGCCCTCGGAGGCAGAGGCACAGTGCGCCGCACTGGAGCAGCTGGGACTGGCCGAGGGCGTCATCACCGACGACAGTGATGTCTTCCTCTTTGGTGGCAGTCGAGTGCTGCGCCACTTCTTCACCGACTCCAAAATGATCACGCAGTACCTGGTGGAGGACTTGCAGAAGTTCTTCGGATTAGACCGCTCCAAGTTGATCTGCCTGGGAATGCTGTGCGGCACTGACTACACTCTCGGCATTGACGGCATCGGCCCGGTGACCGGACTTGAAGTGCTGAGCGAGTTTCCCGGTGACGAGCTGCAGCCGCTGCAAAAGTACGCTGAATGGTACCGAGAGAAGCTGTACTCGCCTGATGTCAGCGGGAAACCGGAAAATCCCGTTCGTGCCAAACTACTCAAATTTTCCCTGCCTCAAACCTTTCCCAGTCGAGTCATCTTTGATGCATACTACAGTGCTAATGTGGACAGCTCTAAGGAGGCTTTCAGCTGGGCATCACCGCAGCTTTCAGAGCTCCGCCGATTCGCCAAGTCAAAGTTTGGTTGGAGCGAGCCCAAGTCTGACGCCATTCTTCTACCCGTTCTGAAGAATTTAAACGAAAAGAAGGTTTGTGTGTTGATCTTTTCTCATATTATTTTACTAACATTTGCCATCTTTTTTTAAAACTAGACTCAAACTCGAATCGATTTCTTCTTTTCATCCTTTTCAAAGAATTCAGCAGTCGCTGAAAAGTTGAACATAAAGAAAAGCAAACGCTTTAAAGCTGCAATTCAAAATATACAACAGCAAAAGACGGAAGTGATAGCGAACAATGAGCCGAAAAGAGGCAAAAAGCGACAGCTGAAGAAAAACAGAACAACAGCGTCCACTTCAAAAGCAAACACTTTGGTGCTTTCGGAAGAATCTTCCAGTAGTGATGATTCGAACTAAAGAGCATGATGATTGTGTATAGCATTGCATTTGTTGTTTTATCAATAAATTACTGTGTTAGATCATTACAATTTGTGTTTACGTCAATTGTTCCAAGTGCTGACGCATCTTTTTGACAATTGTGCTCAGTCTTAAAATATGCGATTTTTGAACTTTTATTGCAAACTCTTTATTTTTTCAAGTGTCAATATGAAGACACTTCTTATCAAAGTGTCAGTTCTGATTATTTGGCTAGTGACAGTTCAGCGAGCATGTGCATCTCAGGACGATGATCAGTAAGTCTGCATTTGCATATTTCATGCATCGGTTCACTTTTATATTTTATTTTAGCAAAGAATTTCAATTGGCCATGGACTATAAAAAGAATAACTGTTCACGCTCATACGAATCAGCATCCCCCGGGGCAGATGAGACCACGGCGAGGTGCTGTGCCCGCATCAGCGTAAACCACTGCTATGAGAAACAGTATGGCTTCAAGTTTCACATTCTCCTTGAGCCCATCATTGACGAATCATGCAGAGAGCACCTGAAAGACACACTGGCCATGTGCAACATTGATACCAGGTAGGGCACAGGTAGAAAAAAAAAGTTTTTTAATATAAAAGTAACAGCCGAATGGCATTTGACGCATTTGATTAGCATCTACGGGCACACCATCACCCAGTACAGTCTGTGTCGAATAAAGCACCAGTACATGCTGCAGAGCTACCTCAGCTGGGAAGAGGAGAACGCCAATCTGGCGTACTATGAGAATTTTCACTCATCGAAAAAGATTCAGTTGGGCAATCACACCTTTTGCTGCTTCAAAAAGGCCCTATACGGCTGCTTCGAGGAAGAAGTGCAGGCAGGCTGTGAAAAGGCGCGCTTGCAGATGAATGAGAGTTTGCGTGGAGATGACAGTATCTGCGGCTTTAGTCAGTTTTCCAATGATGTGACCATTTGTCCGGACTACACTGATTGCAACTTGGTTCAAGAGAAAGTTCTCATCGAAGAAGAAAGAAATTATGTATTTTTCGGATCTACTATGCTGTTTATGATCAGCGTGAATAGCATTTTGATTTATTACTGTTTCTACAAAAAATAAAGTAACAAAAGTGATTTTGCTTATAATTCATATACAAAAATCAGTTATCATATAGCAAAAGAATTATTTTAAAAGTTTATCACGGTAAAACATCTTTTTAAAAACAAGTTAATAATCTTTAACTGTCTTACAGACTGTAATCTTTGAAAGTGCACATTTTTGAGGGTATATATAGAAAAATCGGACAGCAAACGTATTGAAGGGAACACTGCGGTACTAATGATGATAAAATTACCATCCAAGACGGCAAAAATCATGGTTGTTTATGCCAATTGTTATCCCTGGTTGAAGTAATCCGCAGCCTTCAATTTTACCCAATAATGTAAATGAAAAAAAAATTGATGTCTTTTTATTAAAAAATGCGCCCTCTAGCGATTCTAAAAGGCTTGAAGTAAGTTCGATCTTATTTTTCGAAAAACAGGAATACAATTTTTAGTTTTTGTACAAAAAATAGTCAATAGCTTTTTCATCAAATATTGAAAAATGTATTTATTGAAGCAAACATTGTCGATTGCCGATGGGGAAACATGTTTGACTGTCTGAAAGCTTTTTTTCGGTGCTGCCAAATTCATTTTCTGATGCTAGTTCAGTGGTTATATNAAAAAAAAATTGATGTCTTTTTATTAAAAAATGCGCCCTCTAGCGATTCTAAAAGGCTTGAAGTAAGTTCGATCTTATTTTTCGAAAAACAGGAATACAATTTTTAGTTTTTGTACAAAAAATAGTCAATAGCTTTTTCATCAAATATTGAAAAATGTATTTATTGAAGCAAACATTGTCGATTGCCGATGGGGAAACATGTTTGACTGTCTGAAAGCTTTTTTTCGGTGCTGCCAAATTCATTTTCTGATGCTAGTTCAGTGGTTATATTTTTTTCACCATAGTTAGATTATTTGCCAACGAAAGTTGCGTCTAGTATTCCTCTGAGTGCAACCGTCCTTTGGCCAATATATCGCCGATGTTTGCGTACGAACGAAAATTAATTTGCCATAAAAGATTTCGACCCCTCAAGTGGACGCAATTTGTTCGTGTCAACACTGACCTATTGTCTGACCGAAAACCAACTACTCGCACTACCTGCTTAGGAAATGAATGGCCATTGAGTTGGAGCATTGAAGAAGTGTTGACTGAGCGCCGTAAACCGAAGCCTATCAATGCGACTCGTCAATCTATTAGTGGTGCCCCTCGAGGGACCAATTGTCACTTTGGTTCTCTGTCTGGGACGTGATCATCATACCGCTGTGATCTACCGCAGCTACTACACAACTCAGCAAACAACTGGCCGTGTTGACCAGAAGATTGCTGCTGCTGCTGCTGCTGGTGCCACTGACATTTGCATAAATCACAAGGGAGAAGCAAAACGCACTGCAAAGTACACCCTTCACTCGACAACCTCCTCCTTCTTCTCAAAGGCTTAGGCAGAGCAATTAATGCCCCTCATTTCACGGAAAAAAGGGATCACCAAGCGAAGTGCTTGTTGTATGTTGGTTGTTTCGATTAGAAGGGGAGTCATTCTCTTTCTCTCTGTGTGATAAAGCACCGGGCAGAAGATTAATAATTCATTGAGGCGACTGCTAATCGGCTTTGGATTCGCCTCGCTCTCTTTCTCTTTCTCCCTTTTGTGCAGTCTGATGTCAAATGCAATTTAGAGAATCTAAATTTAAAGTATTCCTCGTTCCGCGCGCGCACACCATCGAACACGCACACACCGGCACACAGACACAGACCGACCGAGCGAGCTCACCTCTGGCCACTGCAGGTAGGTGCTGTAGGTGCTGTCCCACCAACTCTGCTGCCGCTGGTGACCAGGGAAGTCTGTCATTTGGCAGGCATTTGCCACTTCTCAAAGAAGGAAAGAAGGTAGGTAGGTAGCACTCCGGTGAAGTGCACTTCCCGCTCTATATAGCCTGGCGGCACTGGAGCACCGAGGTACTCGGGTGTCAGCGACTTGGTCGGCTCAGGCTGCCATTGGACGCCGTCAGAAGCGGTTGCCCAAACTGCTCAGCTGATGGCTGCTGGGGGTTCCTGCTGCCTGACTGCCTGCCTGACTGCCTGACACACTCTGACACACCGTGCACTTCCAACTCGGCCGCCGCCGCTTGAGAAACGCAATTAATCACCAGCAAAGCAAGTGTCCCACAAAGTGTCGTCATGTTTGCCCAGTTTGCAGAACTGCTGCTGAACAACAACTGCTCGCCAGAAGTAGTTGTTGTTGGCAAAGAGGACAGTTTCACCGGAGGAGTGCCACCGCCATCACCACTAATCGCTACCTGAGCTAACAAGTCGAGCAGACACAGTCTACAGTACCGTCACTGTGAATTACCTGTGAATACCGTCACCGCTTCTCCAAGTTGAGTTCACTGCAGCAAAATATATTTTATTTTTTCTGCACGAGCTAAAAAACAGAGAAAGAAGAAAAAAGTGAAATCACCGATTCACCGACTCACACATCATGCCTGAGATGAATCACAATTCAGCTCCTGTGATAATTCCCATCGCGGCGGCACTTCCCAAAGTGCATCGCCTGAAACGGAAACAAAGTGCAGCTCCAAATGGTATTGCTTGTTTTGAAAACCTTTGCTTTGCTTACTTGGTAATAACTTGCTAGCCTGTAAAAATAACCCTTTTTTCGACAGTTTTTGGCAAAATCGGCTTCATGGTAATCATCATGATGGTGGTCGTCTTCTTTGTCGCCACTCACAGTCGCCAAAATGAAATGGTGTACGTTGCGCTGGTGTTCGCCTTCCTCGCCATTGCCCTCTTCTCTTTCGGCTTCTGGAGAGCTGTCAATCGAGGCGACGGCGTCTGGCAGTACATTGGAAAGCACAACCTGCAGCACCAACAAGTGTCCAATCCCAACTACCACTTCCGTTCAGTGCCCAACTACAAGGGTCATCCCAAGTCGAGAGTCCACGTAGTGCAGCCACCTAAAATGGGCGGAGTTCGGCTGGAGATTTACACGCTCAGTGATGACGATCAGCTGAGAAGGGCCAGTCCGGGGAGAGAATCACTGCACCAGAGTCGGCACTCCTCATCCAGTTCGAGGCACCATCATCGGAGTGAGGTGACGAGAAGCCATCACCACCACCATCGTCACCACCGACATCACCAGGAGAAGGTCATCACCACAGCTGAGATCATGCACGCCAAAGGATCGTCTCCCTCAAACTTGAATAGAGCTTCGGATGAAGGCGGTACAAGCACCTCCTCTGCCTCCACTGTCACTCAGGGACCACATATCACTACCAGTCCAAGTCCACCTCAGCCTCAAACGTCTTCTCTCTTAGCCGAGCACAACAACTGCGCAAACCTGTGTGAGCTGGCTGAGACAGGAGACGACTCAGAGCCGATCAAAATTGAGGTGAACTTTACCCGCCGACACAATGAAGACTTTGAACTGGTCGAGCTGCCTCCACTGAATCGATAGTGTGTTCAGCTCATTGAACTGATTTTTCCTCCTCCTCCTCTTTTGTACAGCACTTGAAATCCGTTACTACCTTTCTTCCTTCCTTCCTCTCTTTGCTCTGCCATCACCTTTTCACCATTTCATCACCCTCCTTGCATGGTAAACCGTGTTTGTGTTGTCTGTGTTTGCGTGACAAAAGCCAGAGTTTATTTTTGCCTGCTTTGTTGCCCAATCGTTCGCATCTATCACTCGAGTGCATTGATCAATGCAAGTACAAATAAAATCCATTTTGTGCCTCGTAAAAAAGAACTATACAATGTGAGCACTAATTGTGGTATTTAAAATTCTAGTTATCCTTCTTCGACAGCAAACTCGTTGCTTCGTTATTGTTGAGATCAGATTTCAGCGGCCGTCCATTGAGACTAAGTTCATTCGTTTGGCAATCACCGTTGGAAACTTTAGAAGGCACTTCCTTTTTGGTTCTCGGTTTGCGAACCAAATACGAGTCGA